GTCTCGACTGTCTTGCCTGGCCTTGCCTTGCCTTGCCTTGCCTTGCCTTGCTGTCCTGGTTGAAACGCAGACAGACAGCTTGTTCACTCACTTCCCCCCAGGGGACTTGAGGATATCACGGAAGCACACAATGGTTTGGACTGGGAGGGACCTTAAAGCTCCTCCAGCTCCAAACCCTGCCACTGGCAGAGACAACTTCCACTAGAGCAGCTTGCTCCAAGCTCCATTCAACCTGGTCTTGAACACTGCCAGCCATGGGGCAGCCACAGCTTCTCTGGGCACCCTGTGCCACTGTCCCACTGTCCCACCACCCTCACAGGGAGCAACTTCTAAGATCTCATCTCAATCTCCCCTCTCTGTCACGTTAAAATCGTTCCCCCTTCTCCCATCCCCACAGGCCCTTGTTTTCCCCACAAGAAATGAGGGCAGATCCCAGGATCATCCCTCGGCAGCCGCAGCGCTCCGCTACCGGCTCAGCCAGCCCAACTCACATACTGAGTCCAAAGCAGCCACTCTGGGGAAGTCTCTTGAGGTGTTCTGGCAACTCCTACAGCACCCCAAGATCGCCATCACCACCCACCTCGTTCCACGCTCCTCTGTCCACAGGCGTCACCAGCTCTGAGACACCAAGACGGGAACCACCAGAGGAGCTGCTCTTGCCTCCTCCACCGGTAGCTTGTGTTCCGTGGGGCAGCTGTCGTCTCCCGGTGCCTCTGCTGGAGGGTTCTGTGGGGTTCTGTGACCTCACACACCTGAACACAGGGAGTTCCAGAATCAGCCACCCCTGTGGTCTCCATGTCCCCAAGGTCATTGTGATGCATGAGCTCTGACTCGGTCCATGGGGTGCTCTGGAGGTGCTGCAGGCATTCTCTGGGATTCTCTAGGGGTATCCCCAGGATGCCCTGGGAGTGCACAGAGACACAGGGCCGTGGAGCAAGCTGCTCTAGTGGAAGGTGTCCCTGCCCGTGCCTTTGGGGGCTGGAGCTGGGTGAGCTTTAAGGTCCCTTCCAGCCCACTCTGGGATTCCGTGATTCTCTGCTGTGCCAACGTCGGTCCCTCTCCACTCCTCGTAGGTGGCCGTGACGCCCTGTTCCATGGCCCACGTTGAGCTGTGACCCCTCGCATGCTCCACCTCCGGACCAAAGGCACTGAGAAAGAGCAGCCCGTGAGGGACCTCCCCGAGCCGGCTGGGCAGAGGCTGGTCCTCCTGCAGCGACTCCTGGAGCACCCCTGGGTGCCCAGCGGTCATGGGCACGATGCTGCCGCCATCCCAAAGCCCCAGTGATCTGTGGGGTGGTCTCTGGTGGCTGTAGCCCCTGTTTGAGGCCTCCATTTGTCCCCTGCAGAGCTTGGGTGCATTCCCATGAACCTCCAAATCCCCCTAAACCTCCAGTTCCCTTCCGAACCCCAAATCCCTTCCATTTACTGCCATGGGCCAACAGGGGTACTAAAGACTCAGGGTACTCTGGGTCAAATGTAACCCCTAGCTTTGGGACACTGGCTGTTCCCCAAATCCCTGCACCACCCCGGGGAGCTTTGGGGTTCTCCCCCAATGCCGAAATCCCCTCTGAACCCCCAAACTCTTCCCCTCAACACATCTCCATGCTGGGGGAATGTTGCTCACTCAAAAGCGACTGAGGGGGCCCTGGGACCCAGGTACATGGGAGATCTCCCAATATAATGTGCCCCCTACAGCACATTTTGGGAATCCCCCCCTGAACCTCAAAATGTTCCTTGAACCCTCAAATCCCTCTGAACACCCAAATTCCTCCCGCTTCTGTCAATGGGGCTCCCTAGGGCATCCAATGAGATTCGGCTGCCCTGGGATTGATGGACACCCCAGTCTCGGTAGACAGGGAGTCCCTCAAATAAATGAGCCACCCCAAAGAGTTTTGTGGACCAGCCTGAATCCCCAAATCCCCCCAAACCCAAAGCCCACAGCTCCAAAGCCGCCCCGGCTCAGCACAGTGGCACAGACTTGCAAAAAAGGGGTGTTCCGAAAAGTGGTGTTCCCCCAACACCTGCCCTGGGGATCCATCAAGATGCTCTGCAACCCCGAACACTTGGGGGACCCCAACATTGCTTTCGGTTCAGTAGTGAATTAGGTGGGCCTAAGGGGGTGGATCCCCAAAAGGGTCACCCCAATAAAGGGGCAAACCAAAACCACACTGCACCCCAAAGGGCCCTGGAGGCACCCAAAGCAATCGTGGTGCCCCTAAATCCTAGGGTAACCCCAAATTTCCCTGAAGCAGCACAAAAGCAGGCAGGACCCCCAAGTGGGGGCCTGGGGCAGCACAAAGTCACCCACACCCTTCCATCACACCGGGCCCCCCTAGATGAACCCAGGGACCCAAAAACCTGGAGGAGCCCCACCAAACACCCGCCCCCAACTGGGGTACCCCAGAAAAGCTGCTCCCCCCCTCCAATGCCACCCAGCCCCAAATTGCTCCTCGTTGCCCCCAAACCACACCCCATGGGGCAGCCCAGCTCCCCCATCTTTGGTATCAGGGAGCTGGGGGGGCCAGCCCCAGAGTGGGGGTTGCCTAATTTGGGATGTCCCACCAAAAGACCAGGGAGGTGTGGTGGGGGATGGAGGGTAGGAAGCTCTGCAGAGGGATCTGGACAGGCTGGATCCATGGGCTGTGGCCAATGTGTTGAGGGTCAAGAAGGCAAAGTGCCAGATCCTGCGCTTGGGCCACAACAACCCCCTGCAATGCTCCAGGTTTGGGGAAGAGGGGCTGAAAACTGCTCATGGGAAAAGAGCTGGGGGTGCTGATTGATGGAGCTGAACATGAGCAGCTTGTGCTCAGGCAGCCAGGAAGCCACCAGCATCCTGGCCTGGATCAGCACCAGTGCGGCAGCAGGGCCAGGGCAGTGGTTGTGCCCCTGCACTGAGCACTGCTGAGGCCGCACCTCAAATCCTGGGTTCACCTCTGGGCCCCTCACTACAAGAGAGACATTGAGGTGCTGGAGAGGGGCCAGAGAAGGGCAGCGGAGCTGGTGCAGGGCCTGGAGCACAAATGTGATGGGGAAGGGCTGAGGAACCTGGGGGGGACCTGATCGCTGCCTACAACTGCCTGAGAGGAGGATGGAGCCAGGAGGGGCTGGGCTCTGCTCCCAAGGAACAAGGGATGGGACAAGAGGAAATGGCCTCAAGCTGCACCAGGGCAGGTTTAGATGGAGCTGAGGAAGAATTTCTCCGGGAAGCTAGGGACCAGGTTAGGAAAGCTGAGACCCAGTTAGAATTCAGATAGGCTCGGGATGTTAAGGATAACAGAAAGGGATTCTTCAGGTATGTAGCAAATAAAAAGACTAGGGACAACATAGCCCCCTTCCGGAAGCTCTCGGGAGAACTGGCTACACAGGATTTGGAGAAGGCTGAGGTTCTGAATGACTTCTTTGCCTCGCTCTTCACTGGCAAAGGCTCTGACCACACCACCCAAGTCTTGGAAGGCAGATGCAGAGACTGTGAGAATGAAGACCTTGGGCCCACTGTAGGAGAGGAGCTGGCTCGAGACCATCTTAAAAACCTGAACATGCACAAGTCCATGGGGCCTAATGAAATCCATGCATGAGTCCTGAAGGAGCGGGCGAATGAAGTTGCTAAGCCACTGGTCTTCATATTTGAAAAAACATGGCAGTCAGGTGAAGTTCCTGACGACTGGAAAAAGGGAAATATAACCCCCATTTTCAAGAAGGGGAAAATGGATGACCTGGGGAATGACAGAACAGTCAGTCTCACCTCTGTCCCTGGCAAAAGCTTGGAGCAGATTCTCCTGGAAGGCATGCTAAGGCACATGAAAATCAACAAGGTGCTTGGTGACAGCCAGCAGGGCTTCACTGAGGGGAAATCCTGCCTGACCAATGTGGTGACCTTCTATGATGGGGCTACAGAACTGATGGACAGGGGCAGAGCAGTTGATGGCATCTACCTGGACTTGCGCAAAGCGTTCGACACCATCCCACACGACATCCTTGTCTCTAAATTGGAGAGACATCAATTTGATGGATGGACCACTCGGTGGATAAAGAACTGGCTGCATGGCCGCACACAAAGAGTTGTGGTCAATGGCTCAGTGTCCGGCTGGAGACCAGTAACGAGTGGGGTCCCTCAGGGATCGGGGCTGGGACCGGTCTTGTTCAACGGCCTGCGGCCGTTACAGGGGGCGGAGTCAGCTGAGGGGAGCGGAGGGGGTTACTCTCCCACCCTGCGCTCTGATTGGCTCCGCGGTGCAGTGGGCGGAGCCAGGCGCTGATTGGCTGCCGTGGAAGTGGGCAGGGCGACAAGAACAGAGCGTGCGTTTCCTGGGGGGGAAAGGAGGGAGATGGGGGGCGATGGGACCCCTATGGACCCCTATAGAACCCTATGGGGCAGGGACAGGTTCACACCCACTGCTGGCTCCATGGCTTTATATGGGGGCAATGTCAGTAATGGGGCAATGGGAGCAATTTGGGGTAAAGGGGGGCAATGTGGGTAAAGGGGGGGTCTCGGGGTCTCGAGCTCTGCCCCCTGCATCCTGGTACTGGAGCTGCTGCTGCTTCCCCCTCCAAGGGACTCGTAAAGAGATCCCCCCTCCATGGTCAGACCCTGCAGGGACCCATAGAGACCCCATAGAGAGACCCATAGACACCATATAGACCCACAGCCCACAGAGACTCATAGAGGCCCATAGAGACCCCATAGAGACTCACAGAGACCCATAGACACCACAGAGAGCCAGAAAGCGACCCAAAGTGAACCATAGAGACCCCACAGAGACCCCATAGAGACCCCATAGAGACCCATAGACTACAGGGACTACAACCCTGATCATGCAACGCGGCACCCATAGAGTCCCTTTACGGTGGCGCCCAGCCGGGACTACTACTCCCATCATGCAGCGCGGCACCCATTGAGCCCCGTTATGGCGGAGCCCAGTTATGACTACAACTCCCATCATACCCCGCGGCTCCCATAGAACACCATTATACAGCCGCCAGGCGGTACTACGACTCCCATCATGCCGCGCGGCAACCAGAGAGCACCACGAGGGCGTCGCCCAGCCTGGACTACAACTCCCATGATGCAGTGCGACACTCCTACAGCACCACTAAGGCGGTGCCCGGCTTGGACTACAACTCCCTTCGTGCCGCGCGGCGCTCCCAGCGCGCCAATTTCGGCCATGATAGCGGGGCTGGGCCGCTGGCTCCGGACGGAGCTGGAGCTGCCCCCCAGCGCCCTCCCATCTGGGAGTACATCATGGGCCACGTGCGGCACCCGGGGTGAGGGGGGCACCCCAACATCTGGGGGGGAGGAACTGCAACATCTGGAGGGACCCTAAACCTCGGAGCAGTCCCTAAAATACCGGGGGGGGGGGGGTTGTTCCTATAGGAATGTGAAGAAGATCAAAGGGAACCTGCTGTGGTATCCGCTGCACCGCAAAAAGGGGGGGGACCCCGAAAATGCCCCCTCTGGGGACCCCCAAGCTCATTGGGGAGCCTCCAAAATCCCTCAGGACCCCCCCAAACCCCTTTTGCCTGTTAGGATCCCCCCCCAAAATTGCATTGGGATACCATGACTCCCCCCCAACACCCCCCAATTCCCCCCTGTGGCCCCTCCCCCCAACCGCTTTTATTCTCGTAAATCCATGCACAGGAGCCCCTAATTTCTTTAGGACCCCTCCAAATCCCATTGGGATCCCCAGGAACCCCCAGTTCCTTCCTATGATCCCCCCCCAACCTCTCCTTAACCCCCCCCCCCCGTTTCTTCCTTAACTCGGGGCTCAGGTACTGGCACCTCGAGGAGATTCAGGTTTGGGGGGGGGAGGGTTTTGGGGGGTCTGTATGGGGTTTTGGGGGGTCCCAGAGGGATGGGGGTGGTTGGGGGGTTTGGGGGAGGCAAATATGGGGGGGGCAAGATTTGGGCGGGGGGGGGGGGCAATTTGAGGGGTGGTGGAGGGAGAAAAAATGGTGCTTAAGGATGGGGGGGGTGGTGTCCTCAAGTGACCTTTGGTGTCTCTGCCCAGCGAGGGGCGGGGTCAAGCATGCCTTATATGGAAGTGCGCGAGGCCTTGGAGCAGGTGAGGGCGGAGCTTAAAGTGATGGGCGGGGCCGTGGGCGAGGCCGCTTCAGCGGTGCTGAAGCTGGGTGAGTTCATTGGGGGGCGGTGGGGTGGGGGGTAAAGGGGCGGGGCTACCGGTCACCTGACCTGAGGCTCTGCCCCCTTTGTTTCCTTATAGAAGAGGCACTGGGGGCGGAGCTTCACCGACAGGGGGCGGAGCGTCGCCGAGGGGCGGAGCTTCGGGCCCTGGGGGTGGAGGCAGCGCAGGAGGGGTGGAGGCTGCGGAGGGAGGGGGCCCAAATAAGCTCCGCCCACCGGTGAGCGAGGAGGGGGCGGGGCTTCTTCATGGGTATCCCAATGGGGGCGGGGGGCAGCATTCCCATGATGCTCTGCGCTTGCAGGGAACAGGGGCCAAAGGTGGGACTAACGTCGAAATTGGCGGTAAGAAGGGGCGGGGCTTATTGGAAAGGAGGAGGGGCTTATGGACGGGGGAGGGGTCTGAGCGTGGCCCCGCCCCGCCCCCCCCCCCCCCCCCCCAGGCCGTGTGCAAGCTGCAGGAGGAGGCCCTGGAGGAGCTGCTGGGGCTCCGCCCCTTGTCGAGGTAAGCCCCGCCCCCTTCGGGGCAAGCCCCGCCCATTGCTGCCATAAACCCCTCCCTGTCCATCACCCCCCCAATCCCCCTGCCCTTCCCATTCGCCCCCAGGCCGCAGGACCTCACCTTGCTCTGGCTGCAGGAGGCCAAGGTGGGTGCCCAAGGGGGGAGGGTGGGGGGGGAGGTGACTGATCCTAACCGTCATGTGACCCCCCCCATGTGACCTGACACCCCCTTCACCCCCCCCACCAGGCACTGCTGAACCAACACAGCCCAGAGGAGGTGCTGGAGGCCCTGCTGACACTGCGGTGTGGGGAAGGGCTTAGGAGAAGGGAGGGGCTTAGGAGGGGTGGGGCTTTGGGAGGGGGTGGAGCTTACGGAAGGGGCAGAGCCAGTGGGCTGCTGGGGGTGTGGCTTAAAGGGGGCAGGACTTACCTTATAAGGTTCTGAGGGTGTGGCCCCAGGGCACTAGGGAAGGGGCAGGGCTACCGGTTGGTGGACCCAACAGAGGGGTGGGGATTGCATCCTCCCCCCTCCCCCCTTGTTCCATTGCAGGAAGGGGTACCCCAAAATCAGCCCTGACCTTGACCCTGACAATGATGCTCAGCCCCATATGAAGACCCTCATCCAGGTAAATGGGGGGACTTGAGGGGCACATTTGGGGGTGCTTTAGGGCTCGGAGCTCCCCACTGATGTGGGGTCCCCGTTAGGCAACCCCCAGGACTGCTGGGAGGATGTGGGGGGACTCTGGGACCTCATCCACTCCTCAGCCTCCCGCCTGTCCCCCCTGAGGCTCTGGCTCCTCCAGCTGCCGGAGGAGATTCAGCAGTGCCTGGAGGGGGACCCCAAAGGCCAGCAGGCTGCCAGGTAAAACCCTGCACCCCAAAACACCTCCCTGAACCCCAAAACCACCCCTCTGCACCCCAAAACACTCCCCCTGCATCTCAAAACACCCCCCTGCACCCTAAAACCATCCCCCTGCACCCCAAAACACACCCTCTGCATCCCAAAACAACCCCTCCACATTCCAAAACCATCCCCTCTGCACCCCAAAACACTTCCCTGCACCCAAAAACCACATGGTGCACCCCAAAACACTCCCCTGCATTGCAAACCCCCCCTGCACCCCAAAACCATCCCTGCTGCACCCCAAAACACACCCCCTGCATACCAAAACAAATCCCTACACACCAAAACCATTCTCCCTGTACCCCAAAACAATCCCCTGCATCACAAAACTCCCCCCTGTACACCAAAACCACCCTCCTGTACCCCAAAGCATACCTGCACCCCAAATCTACCCTCCCTGCACTCCAGAAGCCCCCATGCACCCCAAAACAACCCCCGTGAAGCCCAAAACAGCCCCTCTCTGCATACCAGAACACCCCCTCTGCACCCCAAAACCCTCTCAAGGACCCTCCCAAATGCATCCTGCAGCCCAGTTTCCCCCCCTGCACCACAAAACTGCCCCTAGGCCCTCCCCCATGACCTTTTCCTCCCCACTCCCGAACCTCAAAACCCTTTAGGGGCCCCCTCTATACTTTAAACCCCCCTGGGTTTCCTTCTGAAGTGGGTGCTGGGCTCATAGGGGTCCTTAAAGCCCCCCCAGATTCTCCCTAAACCCAGTGCTGAGACCCTTTGGGGTGCCCCCAATACCTCCATGTTCCCTGCAGCCCTTTTAGGGTGTCCCCCCCCCAAAAAGTGTTCTGGAACCCTTTGGGTCCCCCAAGCTCCCCTCAGCGTTTGGCTTTGGGGCCCCGTTGCCCCCCAGGTTGATGCTGGAGGCCGCGGGGCTCTCAGGGGCTCGGGAGGCCCTGATCCAGCAGGTCCAGGATCTACGGGGCAGCCCCATGGACTCCCCAGAAGCTGCCCTGGGGCCACTGAGGAGGCAGCTACAGGAGGGAAGCAGCGGCTGGTGGGTGCCAACGGGGGAATATGGGGATTTGGGGGGGATCCTGATGGGCTTGGGGGGGGTGTCTGGGAAGTGGAATTTGATGGTTATGGGGAGGGGTTGGGGTCCCTAAAGGGTCCCAGCGCTGCTTTTTGTGAGGGATTCGGGATATTTGGGGGTCCTGGAGGGGGATTTTCAGTCTATAGGGGATGATATGGAGGAGTTTGGGGCTTTAGGGGGGATTTTGGGGGTTCAGCAGTGCTGGGAGGGGGATCTGGGGCTTATGGATGGGTTTGGGGTGAAGGGAGAGGTTTTGGGGAGAAATATGGGGCAATATTTAAGGTGTTTGGGGTCTTGAGGGGTATTTGGGTCCCTCCCATGGCTTTGGGGTCCCTCATTTCCTTGTGTCCCCCCCCTCCATCCCTTCCAGTCCCGCCGCTGGATCCAGCTCCGGGCTCTGGCCGCATCCAATGGGAAGCTCCGGGCTCAGCTGTGCCTCCGGCAGGCTCAGGTGAGGAACGAGGGGGAGGGAAGTGGGGCGGGGCTTAATGGTGAGTGGGCGAGGCCTCAGAGCTTTGGCCACGCCCCTTTCAGGCCCGAGGAGCTGTGCGGCTCCCCCCAGGGCTGCAGGGGGAAGGGCAGCGGCTGCAGGAAGCGCTGAGCATGCTGGGAAAGGAGAGGGTGCCCCTCCCCCCGAGGTGAGTGAATTGGGAGGGGGGGAGGGTGGTGGGGGAGGGGGGAAGGGCTGTGCTGACCCCTCCATTCTCCCTCTAGCCCCGCCCACAGCCCACTGCAGCCAATCAGACGTGCTCTAGGAATGGCAGAGAGTGAGGTGGGGGAGGGGAATTGGAAGGAGGGGCCATAGAGGGGGCAGGGGTCATAAAGAGGGGGAAGGCCATAAAGGGGGAAGAGCAATGCGAGAAGGGGACTTAAAGGGGGGCGGGGCAATGGAAGGAGGGGCCATAAAGGGGGGAGGGGCAATGGGGCCGTTGCTCAGGTGTGTTTGTGCCTCAGCCCCCACAGGGGGCGCTGTTGTGGGCAGCAGAGCTGCAGGGGGAGCTGGAACAGCGGAAGGGGCGTGGTCAGCGGAAGGGGCGGACCCTGGAAGCCCCGCCCACCCCGCGGTGAGTGAAGGAGATGGGGTGAGGGTGTGGCCTGCGCTGACACCGCCCCTTTGCAGCCCCTGCGGAGGGCGTGGCCATGGCCGAGCTCCTCCCCCAGCTGCAGGTGCTGTCCATTCGGGTCCAGCAGTGCCTCGAGGGCTGGCCCCTCCTCCAGGATGTCATCACCCAATGGTGAGGCGGCGAGGTTGGGTCTGTGAGAGGCCACGCCCACCATGTTTGATGTCACATCCCCCCTTCCCCCCTCCTTTGTCTCCCATAGGTGGGAGCAGCCGGCTCAGTGGATACCAGCCACGCCCCCCAGCAACATCCCCTTCTCCCATTGGCTGAAGTGCTGGTCCCAGGCCACCCGTACCCTGAACTTGCACCGCCCCCTCCCCTTAGCCCCGCCCACCAGCGACGAGGAAGGGTGTGACCAGAGCAAGCCCCACCCCTGAGCCTCGGTTTTATCAGATGCTCCTATTGAATGGGGTGCAGGAGGCGGGGCTTGGAGGAGGGCGGGGCCACAGGGCTGAGGTCCTGGAAGCGGAATAGAGTAGGTCCTATGGAAATAAAGCAGTAAATAAAGCAGGTCCTGTGTTAATTATATGTAAATGAGGTTGCGCCCATGTTAATGAGATGCAAAGCATGTCTCCTGTTAATAAACTCGTCCTGCCTACAATAACAGCATGTCAACAAGCCAGAGCCTCCAATAACAATGCACAGATAAAGTGTGGCCTACAGTAACATATAAATAAAGCAGGTCCTACAGTAACGAAAGTGTAAACAAAGCAGGTCCTGACATAATAAATTCCCTAATAAATCAGGACCTACAATAACAGCCTGGGAATAAAGTAGGACCTACAGGAATATGTAAATTAGACAGGCTCTATGTTAATAACAGGTACATAAAAGTAGATTCTACATTAAGAACTTGTAAATAAGTTACTCAGTAAAGCGGGTCCTGACATACAACCACCCCCGATACAGTAGGTCCTACAGTAATGAAACTGTAAATACAACATATGAATAAAGTAAGCCCTACATTAATAACTCCCTCAACAAATTGGGTCTTACAATAATACCTCCCCGATAAAGTAGGACCTACAATAAGGGCCCATAAATGAAGTAGGTCCTGCCCCAATGCCCTATCAATAGAGCAGATCCGACAGCAACTGTACATAAAATAGGTCCTACATTAATAAGTGAGTAAATAAAGGAGGTCCTGGCAAAGCACCATGTAAATACAGGAGGTCCTACAGTAAGAACATGCAAATACGAGTGGCTCCATGTTAATGACATGTAAATAAAGCAGGTCCTCCACTAAAAGGACACAAATTAAGTAGGCCCTCCATTAATAACATGTAAATAAGGAAGTGTCTGTGTTAGTAACATTTAAATAAGGTCAACCCTACATGAACTGCGTGTGAGTAAAGCAGGTCCTACGCTAATTGCATGTAAATAAGGGGGGGGTAACGATGGTGGGATGAGAAATGGAGAGGGGTGGAGGGAGAGGGGGAGAAATGGCAGGAATGTGGGGAATGGGGGTGGGAAAAAGGGGGAGGGGGTATGGGGGGCATAAGGGGGGGAGGAGAAGAGGGGACAAATGATGGGGCAGGGGCAAGGAAAAGCCCCATATTCAGCCCCATGGGGGGCAGCCGGGACGGGGTTAAGTGGGGACACCAGTTGGGGAGCTCAGAGCTGATCGGCTGTTGCCTGGGCAACGGTCGCCAGATCGAGGCTGGGGGGAGGGGGGGGGGGGGGGGGGGGGGCAAGGTTGCCTGGCAACGCGCAGCGCGGTGGAAGCTCACTGGCTGTCACCTGGCAACGCACGGGAAGTGGTATGCGGAGACGCCGTTGCCTAGCAACCAACCCGGAAGTGTGACGAGCCCCGCCGAATGGGGATGGGGAAAGGCCAAAATGCGGGAGTAGGGGGGAGAAGAGGCCTCGATTTCCTGTGAGATCTTCATTTATTGGTTAATTTTCCTTTTTATACATTCTTAAGGTGACGTCTCCTGCCTTCCCTCCCCTCCCCGCCCCCCCGGGCTATTTACATCGGTGTCAATAAGGCTTCGGATCAACCCCCCCCATCCCCCCTTTATCCTCCCCTCTCCCATCCCGGGTATAAAGAGGGGGGAGATCCCCACCCCGGACACCCCCGGGTGGGGGATGGGAGGTTGTGTTCATTGAGGACCCTCCCCCCCCCATCGTTTTGGAAGCTGAGGGCACCCAGGGGTGCTCCGGGAGTCGCTGCGGGGGGACCAGCCTCTGCCCAGCCGGCTCGGGGAGGTCCCTCACGGGCTGCTCTTCCTCAGTGCCTTTGGTCCGGAGGTGGAGCATGCGAGGGGTCACAGCTCAACCTGGGCCATGGAACAGGGCGTCACGGCCACCTACGAGGAGTGGAGAGGGACCAACATTGGCACAGCAGAGAATCATGGAATCCCAGAGTGGGCTGGAAGGGACCTTAAAGCTCACCCAACTCCAACCCCCAAAGGCACGGGCAGGGACACCTTCCACTAGAGCAGCTTGCTCCACGGCCCTGTGTCTCTGTGCACTCCTAGGCCATCCTGGGGATACCCCTAGAGAATCCCAGAGAATACCTGCAGCACCTCCAGAGCACCCCATAGACCCATTCAGAGCTCATGCATCACAATGACCTTGGGGACATGGAGACCACAGGGGTGGCTGATTCTGGAACTCCCCGTGTTCAGGTGTGTGAGGCCGCAGAATCCCATGGAACCCTCCAGCAGAGGCACCGGGAGACGACAGCTGCCCCACGGAACACAAGCTACCGGTGGAGGAGGCAAGAGCAGCTCCTCTGGTGGTTCCCGTCTTGGTGTCTCGGAGCCGGTGCCGCCTGTGGACAGAGGAGCGTGGAACGAGGTGGGTGGCGATGGCGATCTTGGGGTGCTGTAGGAGTTGCCAGAACACCTCAAGAGACTTCCCCAGAGTGGCTGCTTTGGACTCAGTATGTGAGTTGGGCTGGCTGAGCCGGCAGCGGAGCGCTGCGGCTGCCGAGGGATGATCCTGGGATCTGCCCTCATTTCTTGTGGGGAGAACAAGGGCCTGTGGGGATGGGAGAAGGGGGAACGATTTTAACGTGACAGAGAGGGGAGATTGAGATGAGATCTTAGAAGCTGTTCCCTGCGAGGGTGGTGGGACAGTGGCACAGGGTGCCCAGAGAAGCTGTGGCTGCCCCATGGCTGGCAGTGTTCAAGGCCAGCTTGAATGGAGCTTGGAGCAAGCTGCTCTAGCGGAAGTTGTCTCTGCCAGTGGCAGGGGTTGGAGCTGGAGGAGCTTTAAGGTCCCTCCCAGTCCAAACCATTGTGTGCTTCCGTGATATCCTCAAGTCCCCTGGGGGGAAGTGAGCGAACAAGCTGTCTGGCTGGGTTTAAACCAGGACAGCAAGGCAAGGCACGGCAAGGCAAAGCAACGCCAGGCAAGACAGGCGAGTCCAGGCCAGGAGAGGCAAGACAAGGCAAGGGAAGGGAAGGCAAGGCCCATGAAGGGAAGGCCAGGCCAGGTCAGGCAAGGAAAGGAAAGGCCAGTTAAGGCAAGGTAAGGCTAGGCAAGGCAAGGCTAGTCCAGGTCTAGACAGGCCATGTAAGGCCAGGTAAGGCCAGGTAAGGAAAGGCCAGGTAAGGCCAGGTAAGGAAAGGCCAGGCAAGGCCAAGCAGGTCAGGTCCAGGCCAGGCCAGGCCAGGCTAATAAAGGCAATGCAAGGCCAGGAAATCACAGGGAAGGCAAAGCCAGGCCAGGCCAGAAAAGGACAGGCCACACAAGGCCATGCCGGGCAAAACCAGGGACAGCAGAGCCCCGGCCAGGCAAGGGCAGGCAAGGTCAGGCCAATCAAGGCCAGCCAGGGCAAGGCCAGGCCAGGCAAGGCCAGGCAAGGCAAGGTAAGGGAAGGCAAGGCAAACTTAGGCCAGGACAGGCCAGGCAACACAATGCCAGGAAATATAAGGCCAGGACAGGCAAGGGAAGGCTTGGTAAGGCCAGGACAGGCAAGGCCAGTCAAGGCCATTAAAGACAAGGCAAGGCCAGGCCAGGAGATGCAAGGCCAGGCAAGGCAAGGCAAGGCAAGGCCATTAAAGACAAGGCAAGACAAGGCAAGGCAAAGCAAGGCAAAGCAAGGCCAAGCATGGCCAGGCCATGCCAGGTCAGAGAAGACAAGGACAGGCAGGGCAAGTCAGTGCAAGGCAAGGCAAGGCATGGCTAGGCAAGGCAAGGATAGGCCAAGCCATGCAAGGCAAATCCAGACCAGGACAAGCAAGGCAAGACAATGCAAGGCAAGGCCAGGCCAGGCCAGGATAGGAGATGCAAGGCCAGGCAAGGGACAACAAGGCCAGGCCAGGATAGGAGATGCAAGGCCAGGCAAGGCACAGCAAGGCCAGGCCAGGCAATTCAGTGCAATGCAAGTCAAGGGAAGGGAAGGCAAGGCTGGGCCAGGTAAGGCCATGACAGGCAATGCAAGGCCAGGCAAGGCAAGGCCAAACCAAGCCAGGCCTGGCAAGGCCAGGTAAGCCAATGCAAGGCAAGACAAGGTAAGGCAAGTCCACAATAGGCAATAGAAGGCCTGGTAATGTAAGGCAAGGCCAGGCCAGGAAAGGCCAGGCCAGTAAAGGCCAGGCCAGACCAGGCCAGTCCAGGACCGGTCATACAAAACCAGGGCATGCCAGGCAAGGCCAGCCAAGGCAAGGCAAGGGAAGTAAGGCAAGGCAAGGGAAGGTAATGCAAGGCAATGCAAAGCAAGACTAGGCCAGGCAAGGCCAGTCAACGCAAGGCAAGCAAAGACAAGGCCAGGCCAGGCGAGGCGAGGCGATGCGAAGCGAGGCAAGGCAAGGCAAGGCAAGGCGAGGAAAGGCTACACAAGGTGAGGAAAGGCTACACAAGGCGAGGAAAGGCTACACAAGGCGAGGAAAGGCTACACAAGGCGAGGAAAGGCTACACAAGGCGAGGAAAGGCAAGGTAAGGCATGTCCAGGACAGGCAATGGAAGGCCTGGTAAGGCAAGACAAGGCCAGCCTAGGAAAGGCCAGGCCAGGCCAGGTCATACAAAAGGAGGGCAGGCCAGGCAAGGCCAGGAAAAGCAAGTCAAGGCAAGACAAGGCCAGTCCAAGACAGGTAATGCAAGATCATGTAAGGCCAGCTAAGCCAAGGCCAGGCCAGGCCATAAAGGTAAGGCAAGGCCTGGCCATGCAAGGCAAGGGAAGGCCAGGCCAGGCAAGGCAAGGCTAGGCAAGGGAAGGCCAGGACAGGCAGTGCAAATCCAGGACAGGCCAGGCAAGGCTAGGCAAGGGAAGGCCAGGACAGGCAGTGCAAATCCAGGACAGGCCAGGCAAGGCCAGGTAAGGCAAGGCCAGGAGAGGCCATGCCAGGCAAGGCAACGCCAGGAGAGACCATGCCAGGCAAGGCAAGGCCAGGCAAGGCAAGGCAAGGCAAGGCAAGGAGAGGCAAGGCAAGGCAAGGACAGTCTAGGACAGGTAATGGAAGGCCAGTTAAGGTCTGGTAAGGCAATGTAAGGCAAGGCAAGGCATGGCAAGGCTAGGCAA